CTAAAACACAACCTCTTTTAGAAAATATTACAATTTTGTAAAGTACGATCGTTGATACCAAACATTTGTGTTGAAAACAAGCAAATCTTGAATCTTGAGTGAACTCATTCGCATATATTTAAATATAACATGTAGATAATGGATTCAACTCTTGCGGCGAGAGAAGTCGTGGTCGAAGTATGCGATGTAGTCGCGGAAAGAGCGGCTCGTGTGGCGGGAGCAGGAATAGTTGGGATGATAAAGAAGTTGGGAAGATTAGAGAAAAAGATGAGCATTGTGATAGTTGAAGGAGGACTGTATGATCATTATAGGGTTTTTAGAAACTATCTTCATAGTAGTATTTGGGAAATGCTCGGTGACGAATTATCAGACCACATCGTCATCGAGCATTCTCACGGTGGATCTGGTGCTGGAGCTCTTTTCTCTGCGGCTTGCCGCGGTGGCGGCAATAAAGATTCTGAAAGCTAATCATGATGATCGTTCTTTCTTTTGTTTTCATGGTTTCTTTATGATATGTTTCCTCTTTAGAACCAAAATTTTAACCCATGAAATGTTCAAATTAAAGGACTGTGACTAGGAGAGAATAAAAAAATAATCACAGAAGATAAAAATTTGGTTTCTCTTGTTGTCTTTTGTGCATTAAACTCTACAAAAAAAAATAACATTGAAGTGCATTTTGGTTAGTGTTAAAACTGTAATTAAAAGGGAGATTCACATCATTATGTAAAAAGCTCTTTTGTAATTCTCTGCTAGAACAATTTGTCAACTTGTCAACTTGATCATAATTTTATCAATCTTATGTCAACTTGATGGAGGTCATCAGATATAATCAACTTGTCAACTTGATCATAATTTTATCATGACTATTAATCCACCATATTATTATCAATTGATTTCTAATCAAGTATAATTTTATCATGACTAAACAAGTGGAGCCAGTAATGAAGACATATCAATAAATTAGAGACCGTTGACTAAATACATATAGGACCAACGGACTAAAATAAATACCACGAACAAGATATTAAAGACTTGGTGAATGGAGAAGATCCCACACCAAGAACGTAATCTTGAAATTTTCGTGAGTGCAATAGTTAGGGTTCTCCAATTCCAGTTCGGATCATCAACCAATCTCAACAATGTTAAGATATTGAGAGATAACATAAATCCACGTTATCTACCTTAAATTTGGAATGTATTTGGATTAATCGACAGAGTTGTCCAAAAGATTTTATATGGTTAGGTACTAAAAAAGATTGGAAAGTGGTTCAAACAAAGACAACCACCACGTTTTACCTATCCTAAATTTTGGGTTCTATTTTAATCTGTACGTGAGTTGTCCAAAATAATTTATGCAGTAGCTAAGTACTAGAAATAGTCAATAAACGAAGGCACGTTGAGATCCCAGCTAATTCTACAAATTAAAGACCATTGACTTTAATTACATAATTCTTCATTAATTATGAATAAAGTAAAGAAAATTTTACTCTTTCCGTTCTAAAACATCTTTCTTTTTGGAAGTAGATCAAGAAAAAGAGATTTTAAAGGAAAGGAGATTGGAAGAGTTGTTTGGTATTCTAAACCATAAATTCTTCTTCCCCAAAATTACAACAACATGGATGTACCAGTACCACCAAGATGTCTTCTCTCTAATCCTGTTCATCCTCACACTCTTTCTTGTCAACAAAATCCTCTTCCATCGCCTTGCTTTGGGTGCGGATCATCTCGCCACACAGATAAAGATGGTTACTGGCATTACTATTGTGATATATGTGAGCTTGTGTTCCACAACGGCTGTAACACCACCTTGAGAAGTATAAGACACCCTTATCACCTCCACCACCTTGTCCACTTAACCCTTCGAATATCTGAAACTAAAACCGTAACTCTATTCAATGGAGCCATCCAGGAGATGGATTCGTGTCATAGCTCTGTTTCTGAATCCGGTAACACTTGTGATTGGTGTGGAACAGAGCTCGGGAAAACCTTTTTTCGGTGTCTGGTTTGTGGTTTTAGTTTGGATAGTTCTTGCACCGAGAAAGATCCTCCTTTTACTATCACAAACCCAAAAAGCCATCAACATCCCATCAACTTATTTCCTATAGCACTCCCAGTACCTTGTAGTGCTTGTGGTTTGACCGACAAGACAGAAGAGCCGACTTATTTTTGTCTTCCATGCAACTATTTCGTTCATGTAACTTGTATCGATCTACCACGCGTCATAAAGCTAACACGTCATCAACACCGCCTCTCCCACACTCCCTATCTTCCACCACTTGCAAAGCGGTCATGTGGAGTTTGTCATAGAAACGTCGACGTCAAGCTTGGGATGTATTCTTGCAACAAGGGTTGCTCCTACGCAGTTCACTCAAAATGTGCAACCCACGAGGATATATGGGATGGAATTGATCTTGAAGGAGTACCTGAGGAACCTCTTGAAGATATTGCGCCATTCGAAGAAGTAGGTTACAATTTAATCAAGCATTTCAGTCATGAACATCATCTTAAATTCGATGAGGATGAGGTTAATCATGACGCAAACAAGGTATGTCAAGCTTGTTGCAGACATGTTGATTCTGGTGGTTTCTACAAGTGCACAATGGTGTATTGTGATTTCTCTCTCCATGCAACATGTGCTAATTTCCCTAAACAGAAAGAGCATCCAGTTCATAAACACCCTCTTACTCTACAAATACCTGGAGTACACAAAAGTATTTTCCGTTGTTTAGCTTGTGGAAGATCTTCTTGTGGCTTCAGCTACACATGTTTGAACAGCTCTTGTAATGACGGCAGAGGCTTTCATATGGATGTTGTTTGCGCTTCAGTTTATGAACCGTTTGAACATAAGGTTCATCCACATCCCTTATATCTCTTTTCTGGAAGAGATAGCTCATCTCTGTGTGGGATTTGCGATATTGATGATGGTTACATTATATTCACTTTAAAGTGTAATGATTGCGAATTCACTATGTGCTTTAAGTGTTCCACTATACCTGTTGTGATACGCTACAAGTACGATGAGCATCTCCTCGCTCTTTGTGGTGGTGAAGATTCAAGTGATCCATATTGGTGCGAGAGATGTGAGAGACAAATCGATTCAAAGAAATGGTTCTACACTTGCGATGAATGTTGCACCACTCTCCACATTGATTGTGTATTTGCGGATTCAAGCTATGTCAAGATTGGTCGGATCTTTGAATTGGAAGATGGGGATATGACATTTGCTTCCAACAATGGTAACTCACGACCAGTTTGCGACCAATGTGGTGTCCGTTGCCTCCATCGCGGATTTTTCAAAGTTCAAGATCTATGTATTTGCTCAATCAACTGTTTCTTTGACCATTACCTAAAATAAGTATCCGGAGATTTTTTTTTTTTTGGGATGTAACTTCTTTCGTGTCTTGTTGTTGTGCATTTCGTGTGCTTTGATTGATGGATGCTCTGTTTAGTTGGGACAAAGAGTGTCTCTCTTTTTTTATCATGTTTTCTCTTTAAAACCTTTTGAGTTCATCAATGGTTATCGATAGGAGTGTTAGCTGGAGGAAGGTACTGTCACAAGAACATTGTAGCTGCAGTTACTTTAGGAATGGGAACTAACGCTGCTTACGTCGGACAAGCTCAAGAGATTTCGAGATGGAAATCCACAATACCCGAGCGTCAGCGACCAGAGATCGTATGTAGAGTTTCAATACATTTGATCCATTATCATAAGAAAGCTTTCAATTTTATGATCAAGTGGTTGTGCATTATAAGATTGTAGGTTATTAGCAAAGAAAATCAACAAAACCTCTCCTCAACAAAATACACACATCTTCACAGGTCTAATGGCGGAACCTTCATCGTCTTTATCACCTAAATCTCTACAATCTCCTAATCCTATGGAACCTTCTCCTGCACCTCCACCATCTTCATCGCAACAAAACATGACAGCTCCGATTTCGAATTCCGTCAATTCGGCTCCGTCTCCGGCAATGGCTGTAACGACCACCGAAGGTGTAATCCAGAACAGTAGTAACAACAATTCGCAATCGAACATCGCCTCTCCGAACCCAACAGTTGGATAGGAGACAATTTCTCATCGGCGAAATGGCCATCAGTAGAGAGGATAAAGCGAAGAGAGAGAAACCCGTGCGAGAAAGAAACACTTTTTGGGGTTATCCCCAATGTTTTGAAAACCGGATCGGATATCGACTCGGCATCGTCATTCGAACCGGTTCAACCGAGTTTT